TTCTTAATTCTAAAGAGTAATTTGCGGGGCATGTGTGTATGCCAAGACTATTCTGGAGATCAACCCAATCATGCCCAAATGCCTTAAAGCATATGCACTCTGTTTATCTTAATCTAATAGGCAGGCAGTATTGGATAGAGAGGAACCCTGTTAAATGGATGAGCAAAGAGAAGTGGGAGATCATAAATGTGAACAAGTAGACCTCAACATGTAGTAAATATTTTGTATGAACCAGTGAGTAAAATTGAAGCTGATAGATTTCTAAGAAATTGTACTAGAAACAGATAAAATCCATGACTATGATGAACTATGTGTACACATAGCAGCATAATTACAGAGCTGTCTTAGAAATCATGAGCTAACCATTATACATAAAGAAACAGATACAGTGACAATGAAAGATGTGACTAGTGTTTCACAAGAAACTACGCCCACTATTGCCCCAGCAGGCCAAGAAAGATACATACAGTAATCATCTTGCAGGATCTACATCTAAGACCAATTTGGCTGTGTTCGTGCTCTGGTATTTCATTTCATCAGAAGCTATAGACATTGATGATTCTCCATCAGGGTATTGCGTCCTCATAGGATTTGGTGTGGTGACTTGCTGCATCTGGATTCTCCTCAACATTTGCAAACGCTCTGCTACTTCCTTCATTGTTGGCCTCTCATCTCCTCTTGGGTTCAAACAATGCATGATGAGTTCAGCTAGTTTCTCGAGCACCACCGTAACTTCATCTTCTATTATATCATCATCAAATATATCGCGGAGCTTCTTCTGGTGAAATGTCACAATGAAGGCATGCGATAGCGCTTTCTGTTCATTAAGATTATCAATGAATATAGCCTTCTTTCTTGTTACTAACTCTAGAAGAACAACCCCAAAACTGTAGACATCACTTCTGTCAGTAAGGTGATGACTGACAAAAGACTCAGGGTCAAGGTACCCAAGAGTTCCTTGGATAAACATGATGAAATCATCTTTATCTATGGGCTTCAGGGCTGATGCTCCAAAATCTGCAACCTTTGCATTGTATTCATCATCCAAAAGTATATTGAGTGATTTGACATCCCCATGCAGAATTGTGCGAGAAGTTGATGAATGGATGTAAGCAAGGGCCTCTGCTGATTGTGTAGCAATCTTCAGTCGAAGATCCAAGGGGATTATTGATTTACGATCATTGCTGTGAAGGAACTCAAAGAGGGTACCATTCGATATGAACTCATACACCAACATCGGCACATCTACCTCCAAGCAGCAACCGAGTAACCTCACGATGTTCCTATGGTTAATCTGTGACAATATTATTATCTCATTTACAAATTCTTCTCTGCAGTCGTCGTTGATTACTTTGGACTTCTTTATGGCAACTTCTTTGTCATCATGTAAAGTTCCTCTATAAACCATTCCATGACCCCCACAGCCAAGAACTCGATCGTTGCTGTAGTTTTCTGTGGCTTTCTTGACCTCTTTCTCTGTAAGTATATGAAAGGTGTCCACTTGCCTTGATCTCATCTCATCATATAACTTCAGTCCTCCATTTTGTTTAAAATACTCATCCTTCTCCTTCCTGTGCTTTCTTCTTTGCCATTTCATAGCCAACAGGCATGCTAATGCTATCACCATAACTGAGGAAACACTGAGGCCTGCAGAATGATTGTTGAGATGCTTTAACTCATCAAAAGCATGTAAATGCACCTTAGATAAACAAAGAGAATACTCTCCGGTATGATGCTTACCTATAACCACCTGTTCAGCTTGAGTTAGCACAGGTCGACATCCAGAATTTTTGCCATCTGATTTTTTTCCTATCCCGCATTTGCATACATAACCTCCTGGTATGTTGCGACATACCCCATTTCTGCATGGATATAATTCTGTATACTTGGAGTTTTGCTTATGCAGCTTACACTCGTCTATGTCTGAAGAGAATTATAAATTTAATATATAGTGGCCTAAAGGCATAAGCAAACCAAAACTCAAAATATAGTCCTATTAAGGAAGCTAAAGAAATTTTTAAGAAGGAACAAAAATCTACTGAAACATGCATGCAGTGACAGTTGCTTATCCTGAGTTTTAAAATTAAGAGAAATTCCATGAGTAAATAATTCACCTTGACAGCCTCTGGGGAGATAAGGATTGCCCTCGTATCCTTCAGAACAGTTGCACATGTACCCTGGGCCATTGGTTGCGCCCACACAATAGCTGTTTGAACTGACACATGCATAACCCATTGGCGCCGTTGCTCCATTCTTTGGGCAGGAGCCATTTCTGATGGCCCAGTCAGCAATAACAGGGACACCTCTCTTGGCTCTCTCGTTGATGAACCCAAGACGCCCGACAAGGTCCTGCTGCCTGAAGCTGTACCATCCAACCTCTGCAAGCATAGCGTAGAAGCATGGGTTGAATGTCCATACACTGCTCTGGTTGATGATCAAGAGCGCCGCAAAGTCGGTGAGGTTTGGGGTGATGGTGGTTTCGCAGCAGCCCTTCCCAGTGCATGGGGCACCGTTGGACGTGCTGTTGATGCCCTGGCAGTAGGAGTAGCAGCCTGCCACGTACAGGTCTGGGTTGCTGTGCAAGTAGCCACCAATGATACCCATGGTGTTGCAGCCGATGACCATGAAGCGGTTGCGGTTGGTCGAGGGGATGAACGGCGTACCCACCAAGTTGAAGCCGCTGGTGTAGTTGTCCACGATTGTGGTGTTCGACGCGAAGCAGTTGTAGCTGACGGGGCCGTAAACACGCATCTCAGCACGCTCCAGGGAGATGTCAATGATCTCTGATAACCCCGAAGGGCCACCAATCATTGGTCGTGGGGGTTGGAAGGTGCTGTTACAGGTGACGGTGAAGTAGCTGTTCAAGCTAGCTGCGGCGCAGCCATTGCCGATGCCAAATGGGTAGGGGATTGGCACGTTGCCACACTTGTCAGGACACCCTGGCAACGCTATGGAGACTCCGGAAGAGGTTGCAGATAGCGCCACCACTTGGAAGGCGATGAGCATCAGGAGGACGGATGCTTCTTTCATGGTTGGGAACTTGGTGGTTACTCCCCGCAGAACTGCCTTTCTAACTTAGCCGATGCCATCTCATTTTCCTTCTATCTCATTTTGTACCCTACGCTTGATAGACCATGGATCCTCAGACTGGTGCTTATGTATGAGATACTATTTACAGTTGATTTGTATAATTGTTGATTAACTATTTCATGGGTGACAGCGACGCACACTTAGGTGTGTTTGAGAAAAATAAACTATTTCATGGGTGAGATCAGCGTTGAATGGGATACTTCTACCTGAATTTTGTATTGTTTAAGTGTTCAAAGTTGGAAAACGCAGTGCTTATTAAGAAACAGAAATATTGGTTGTTTAGTCCTTTGTATTGACAAGTGTCTGAAAGTGAAAGAAAGTGATACCACAGTTGCTTATATTTTTGATAAATCTTGTCACCCATTTGTATTGTTTAGTATTCAGAGTTGAAAATCACAATGCATATAATTTTTTTGATTAGTTCGCTCACTCGTTTCTGTTGAAGGTTTCTCTGAAATTGAGTAAAGGATGATGGTTTATATGTTGTTCTGATTAGTTCACTTATAATTTGGAAAAGTCTTCACCGGTTTATAGGTTATTCATATGCCAGTCAAAGTATAGCTCTTAGTGTAATGTCCCACATGTGAATGCATGTCATATCTGTTTGGTCAGATACCATAGTTTGGAACTTTCTTCTACATAACAAACTAGATGCAAGCACTAGTCGGTCAGCTTGAAAAGTCAAGATAAGCTTAGCCAGCAATAGTTTGAAGTGCATAACTAGGCTGAAATCTGAAAATATTTTGTCTGTTCAACCGTTTATCTCCATTCACAGTTTTCACAGGCATTAGGTTCTATGCTGTTGTGGCAGGGAGTAAATGATGATCCGTGTGCAGATGCACTGAAGTGATACCCTGGAGGTTGAATGGTGAAGCCCCCTGACCAGAAAAAATGAACTGTTTACACGCATGCTGACGAGTGTGAGCCTAGCTTCAGTTCGGTTGGGCCTTGGAAGCCGAATATGCATGCAAGCATCAGACCTGGTCCCAGACTATCCTATCTAGCTCCAAACAGGTACTGAACGGTCCTCATAAGCTAATGTTAGTAAATTTTGGAGCATGTGGTTTCTTCACAATTTCTGGGAATTGAACTGGTTGAAGTGTCTAATTTATAATTCTTGCATAAGAAAATTCGTCTTGAAGACTTCAGAGCTATACCGTGTAGAGCTATACAACGTATGCTATTTTACTTCTGATTTTCTGAAAACACACACATATATATTCTAGCATGTAGCTACGTTGTGTGGGGTTTACCCTAGTTATATGATGGGCACGATCCGAGTTAACTAGATAATTCATACCTCGGATAATAGTAATAATAACCAAAACTAGACTTTTTATGGCACAAACAGATACATAATACCAGTAATTCAGTATTATGGTATTCTGCTACAACTTCTATCCAGATGTGCTTAATTGGGACGCCTAAGACAAAGTTCTACCTCCTGTCGTTTTAGCCCGTTGTACGTCACTGCATGCATCTAAGTAGTAAATTCTGACATCTAACAAGAGAATTATTCGCATTAGACTGAGGCTTTGACTCACTATTTAAGGGAAAAATGGCAACGCCTTGCACATAGACTTTACTTGGGGTGAGGTCAATACTTGACTAGGACAAACCACCACCTACTACCTAGCTAGTCAAACCGTTTTAACATACATACACCAGCTCATCTCGAAAAAACAAAAGAAAAAGGTTGGACATATCAACCATCATACTGCAACGTGGATTTAGACTTTTACTTGATCGGAATTCACCTTTGAATACTTGAGTTGATGTGACTGTATCTGTTGTATAGGCCGAGTCTGATTGCGTAGTATGCTAAGGCGCAATTTATCTCATAAAAGGAGAAGCATGGGCCTCAGCACACTCAACACAGTCGCCAAATTAAGCAAGTGATGGCGTGAGCCATGCATCTAACCTTGCAGCAGCAAACACCAACTCTGGTTGTAATGCTCTACCTGAAACCAACTGTAGTCTTCCTGGCGATGGCATTGGCTAAACCTGCAGGTGGTGCCATATCCCTAGCGCTCCCTGGCTGCCCTGACAGGTGTGGTGATGTGCCCATCCCTTACCCCTTTGGCATTGGCGCACAGTGTGCCGCGGTCAGCCTCAGCAGCTTCTTCAATCTTGACTGCAAAAACACCTCCCACCCGCTGCAGCCGACGGTTGGGGGGCCAGCCGATGTGGCCGTCATCGTTGCTGATATTTCGCTGGAGCGCGGCGAGATGAGGGTGCTCATCCCTGTTAGCTACATCTGCTTCACATCAAGTGCAACCGTATCGGCGAGCAATAACGACACCGTGGGGTTCTGCCTGGAGGACACGCCGTTCCTCCCATCCCCTGGGCGCAACCGCTTTACGGTTATTGGCTGCAATACCCTGGGTCTTGTTGGTGGTTTCCGCGGAGGCACGAGCCAGTACCTCGCTGGCTGCTACTCCTACTGCGATGGTGCCAGTGGTGCGTCGGACGACGGAGCACCATGCACTGGGACGGGCTGCTGTGAGGCATCCATCCCGACCAACCTCACCGCCTTCAATGTGGCGTTCCCGATTAACAGTAGCAGTGTGTGGGGATTCAATCCATGCTTCTATGCCATGGTCGCCGAGGTCGGATGGTACAGGTTCCAGCGCCGTGACCTCGCTGGCGAGCTTGGGTTCATCAACAACAGGGCAAAGGATGGTGCACCTGTCATCGTGAACTGGGCGGTTAGGAATGGATCATGCCTGGAGCAAAGAAACCACGCATGTGCCAGTGCAAACAGTTACTGCGAGAGTGCGAGTAACGGACCTGGGTACTTGTGCCATTGCTCCCCTGGTTACCAGGGTAACGCCTACCTCAACAACGGTTGTCAAGGTAACTACTGTACTTGTAGGTCATAGCCCCTCTGTCCCAAAATAAGTGTCTCAAGTATAGTACAACTTTTATGCTAAAGTTTGTACAAAGTTGAGACACTTCTTTTGGGCAGAGGGAGTACATAGCAAGCAGTTTGACTTATCTGATTGCGTGCAATGGTTTTGTTGATACCATGTTCAGATATAGATGAATGCATGCTGCGTGAGCAGGACCCCAAATACGAGGAGTCGTATCCTTGCAGGAACGGAGTCTGTCTTAACACTCCGGGAGGCTATGATTGTAAATGCAACAAAAGAACCAAGTCTGATGGCACAAAATTCGGGTGTCGACCTCTGTATTCTCGAGATGAACAGCTATTAATAGGCAAGTTCAACTGTCATTTGTTTTGTTTTGTCTAACTTACAGATTCATATATTTCTGCTTGCTTTGATGAGTTGAAACATCTCAGTATCAGTTTCACATGCCTAAATAAATTATATGATTTTGCAGGCCTGAGCGTTTCAGCCGTTGTGATAATATCCTCGGCATGCTTTTTGGCTATGCAATTACAAAGGAAAAAGCACAAGAAGGAGAAAGACGAGTATTTCAAACAAAATGGAGGGCTCATGTTATATGATGAGATGAGGTCAAGGCAGGTTGACACGGTCCGCATACTCACAGAAAAGGAGATCAAGATAGCCACTGACAACTACAACGAAGATCGAGTGCTTGGATTTGGCGGCCATGGAATGGTCTACAAGGGTACTTTGGATGACCTCAGAGAGGTTGCTATAAAGAAGTCCAAAGTGATCAATGATGATTGCAGGGACGAGTTTGTAAATGAGATCATAATCTTGTCGCAGATCAACCACCGGAACATCGTGAGGTTATTAGGCTGTTGCCTGGATATAGATGTCCCAGTGTTGGTATATGAGTTCGTCTCCAACGGGACACTATATGAATTTCTTCACGGCAGTGCTGATCACAATCTGTCACCAATTCCACTGGACCTTCGCCTGAAGATTGCGACACAATCAGCAGAAGCTCTTGCTTACCTGCACTCGTCGACATCCCGCACAATTTTGCACGGGGATGTCAAATCCGCCAACATTCTGCTCGACGATCAGCGCCACGCCAAGGTTGCAGACTTCGGAGCATCGGCGCTCAAGTCCATGGACGAAAGCGAGTTCATCATGCTCGTCCAGGGAACCCTCGGCTACCTCGACCCCGAGAGCTTCATCAGCCATGTCCTCACCGACAAGAGCGATGTCTACAGCTTCGGGGTCGTTCTCCTTGAGCTGATAACGAGGAAGAGGGCTCTCTATGCCGATAGCTCCTCCAAAGAGAAGAGATCCTTGTCCCATAGTTTTCTCCTGATGTTCCACCAGAACATGCACCTGAAGATGCTCGACTCTGAGATCGCAGAGGATGCTGCCGCTATGGTGGTCGTTGAGAAGCTCGCGGCCCTCGCCGTGCACTGCCTGAGCGCGAGAGGAGACGACAGGCCGACGATGAAGGAAGTCGCGGAGCGGCTGCAGGTGCTGTGCAGGATTGAGATGCATCCGGCCGGTGATGGTGACAACGATGATGTCTTCTGTGGGAGCTTGGAGACGTGAGAACTGGCGCTGGGCGTTTATCTTCATCTTGTATCGTTGGTACTTCGTACGAACAGTTCGTGTGTTTTGTGGGATTATTTGTATGGTGTGTTTATGTGATACGTATATATAATTATAAACACACTGTGAGTAGGGTCAGTTACTTGAAAATCCCATTCTAACTTATTAGATGGATCCTCACAAAAAAAACTGATTAGATTAGATAAATTTTACAGTTAAAAAAGGTTCTGCAGTTGCAAACTTACAAATTTTAAAGAAAATTGTTTTTTAGTACACCTACAGTTTTTATGAATTTCTTTAAATTAAAGTGACCTTTAAAAAGTGTGCTTCAGGAATTAAGTCAATCAACATTACGCTTTGATGAAGCTGTTGGAGCGGCTTTGATCTGTGATAGCGGGGATGGGCTGCTTTTGGAGTGTGGCGGTGATGATTGTTGCGGATATGTGGAAGACGGTGAAGGATCCGGCCATCTGTTGAAAGGCGGGTTGGTGTTGGCCTTGGATCTGGCATTGAACAGGTTCGAAGGACTCCTCCGGCCGATGTTCCTTATCGGGCTAAATCCAGTCTTTCGAGGTTGGTGTTTATCACGGCTTGTTAACATCTCCTGGTTAGGGGTTTCTTTAGTGTGTGCTAAAATGGCCTGCCAGGTCATGAAGGGCTGGGGGACGAACCCGGGTGCTGATCTTCGGGCCCGTAAAGGGGCCCTTCTGGATCAAATTAGGGTGCTAAATGGCCTAGCTGATGGGCCTGGCCTGTCTCCTGACGACTGGCTTAGGAGATACTCCCCGGAGGCTTCGCACATGGACATTTACAAGAGCAAGGAGCTGTTCTAGCAGCGTCGAGGGGATCAGAACTATCTTTAAGGGGATGCGAACACTGCTTACTTCCAGGCGGTCGTCAATGGCCGCAGGCGGAAATGTGCCATCCCTTTCCTCTGGGATGAGGATGCTCTTCTGGAAAGCCCAGAGGACATCTTCGCCCATATTTACTCTTTCTATAAGGAGTTGTTTTCGACTAAGCCGCGTGGGGGCGTTTCTCTCTGCGATGACTTTTGGTCGATTGTTGACCAGGTCTCCGAGGCGGAGAATGCGGATCTGACTCCCCCTTTCTCTCCCGAGGAGGTGGGCAGGGCGATTGCTTCTATGAAGGCTAGCTCGGCACCGGGGCCGGATGGCCTTCCTGTAATTTTCTTCCAGAAGTTCTGGAAGGTCCTGCGTCCGGTCATTATGCCCATGTTCCATGAGTTTTATATTGGAACTCTAGACATGGCTAGGATAAACTATGATGTCATATCCCTGATCTCCAAAGTAGTTGGGGCGACGGGTATTAGGCAATTCCGCCCCATCACGGTGATTAATGTGTTGGAGCGAATCTTCGCAAAGGTTTGCATGACCTGTTTATCCCCCGTGGCGGAACGGATTGCTCACCCCATTCAGTCCGCGTTCTTGCAGGGTCGGCGGATCCATGATGGCATTCTTGCCCTTCACGAGATCGTCCATGAGGTGACGTCGAAGGGGCTTAAGGGAGTCTTCCTCAAATTGGACTTCCAGAAGGCATATGACTATCTGGATTGGTCCTTTTTGAGGTTGGTTATGCAGCGACAAGGATTTAACGAACGGTGGTGCTTCTGGATCATGCAATTGGTTAGAAATGGAAACACGACGATCAACATCAATGGAGAGGTTGGTCCCTTCTTCCAGGCCTCCAGGGGGTAAAGCAAGGGGATCTTGTCTCCCCCTTGCTTTTCAACCTTGCAGTTGATGCCCTTGCGGGCATCCTAGACAAGGCCAAGCCGCCCGGCCACCTTAAGGGTGTGGTTATTCATCTCATTCCGGGTGGGGGAGTTACCCACTTGCAGTATGCAGACGACACCATGATTATGGTAGAAGGTTCAGACTCGGACATTGTGAATCTTAAGTTCCTTTTGCTCCGCTTTGAGAAAATGTCTGGTCTTAAGATTAACTTTGACAAGAGCGAGGTTGTGGTCCTTGGCTACTCGGAGCTTGAGCATCACATGGTCGCGGATAACCTCAATTGTAGGCTGGCTTCATTCCCCATATCTTACTTGGGGATGCCCCTGGCTGAGTCCAGGATTTTGATGAGTGGGTATGATCCCCTTGTGGGACGAGTAGCGTCTCGTGCGGAGCCCTGGTGCGGTAGGTTCACTTCTAAAGGAAGCAAAACTATCCTCATTAGCTCTAACCTTGCCAGCCTCCCCATGTATATGATGGGGATGTACATCTTGCCCGAAGGTGTGCATAGCTCCTTTGACAAGGAGCTGGCTAGGTTCCGCTGGCAAGCAGGGGATGGCTGGCCTAAGTACCATATGGTGAAATGGGCCGACATCTGCTTACCGAAGGACTGAGGTGGGTTGGGTATCCCTGCGTCCCACCGTATGAACGTTGCGCTCATGCTTCGTTGGGTTTGGCGGATCTTGCGGGGTGATGAGTCCAAGTACCTGCAGGGCCAGCCCCTCTTGGCTTGCTCGCACTCGGCTGGGTCCCAGTTCTGGAAATCTATCCAGGCCATCAAGGAGGAGATTAGGCTGGGTTTGCGGTTCTCGGTTGGTAATGGGTCTGGGACCCAGTTTTAGTTGGACCCCTGGCTTGATGGGGAGCCTCTCCACATTTGGTTCCCGAGGCTCTTTGCGATTTGTGACGACCCGACTGTTCTTGTCTCTGTGCTGCTTTGGATGAGGGGTGGAACATTGCGTTCCGCCGCTCATTCGGACCAGCCGAGGTGCAGGAATGGGCAAACTTGAGGGAAGTAGTCCCTCTTCCTTTGTTCCAGGATCCTGACACTGTTTCTTGGAGTCTTTCGCTCTCGGGAGACTTCTCCGTTAGCTCGGCCTATCAGGCGCTATGCCGGCTGCCGGTTCTCCAGTGGTTATCCCCACTGTGGAAGGCGCTGATGCCCCTGAAGATCAAGATTTTCGTGTGGCAGCTTCTCCGAGATCACTTACCTTCAGGGACTGAGGTGCTTAAACGCCATGGTCCAGGCAATGGCATTTGCCCCCTTTGCCTCGTCCCGGAAACGGGAACGCACATTATGTTCTCGTGCGTAGCAGCGCAGACACTTTGGTGCTTTTCTCGTGAGGCTTTGGGTCCGGAGTGGGAGGCCCATGACCTTGCAGAGTTTCTGCAGGTTAGGACCACTCAGGTTGGCCGTAAGCACCGATTGTTCTGACTCATCTTCGCAGCTATGACGTGGACCTTTTGGACTACTCGCAATAAGATGGTGATTGAGCGGATATTCCTGGGCGTGCCTCTGACTCGTTTTTAAAATTTCTTGCCTTCTTGCAGCACTGGCATCCGCTCGCTAGACCGAGAGATCATGACCGGCTTCAGCTCTATCTGAACGCACTGCTGGCTTTCGCACGCCGGCTTTCCGACCGGTCGCCTGCTTCGTAGCTTGCCCCTGTTGGCCTTTTATGACTTTCTTTTGGATGTGCTTGTGCTGTGGCCCCAACAGTTTCTTTCTTTGACTATGGTTGAGACGCGGTTGTATGGATGTTTGCTTTATCTATAAAGCGCGACGAAAGCCTGTTTCGAGATGTGGAACAACTTGTGGTGCTGTTTTCCGACGACGGCGAAGGTCGTGTGTGCTTGCTAACTCATTAGATGGATCCTAAAAAAACTGATTAGATTGATGTGGAGGTTGTATCCAATAAATTTTTCCATTAAAAAAAATTCTACAGTTACAAACTTTAAAGAAATTTGTTTTTATTAAAAAAAACAATCCTAAAGAATTTCTATGAAATTCTTTAAATTAAAGTGGCCCTGGAAAATTGTGCTTCTTTCTTTTGCATGGTAATACGTGTCTCATTTATATAGAATAAAGACCAAGTTACAAGGCACGTAAGCACCGACCATACATGACTGAAAAGATAGGAAAATCCTATGCAAAATACCAGCGCCTGTCCCTTTCCTTCGACACCACCGAAGCGGCCACCAAAGGGTAAAAAGACAGATCACCTCTTTGCCCGAGCTCGACGCGGCTCCATCGCTGATCAGCAGCTTTACGGACCTCTAAAGTAGTTAGCCAAAAGCAAAACCATAACCGTTGAAAGAATCAGACCAGGGCAACATATGTCCCCGGACACGCCATCGAACTTCAGAACTGACACCCCCGCATGACGACGACGTCGGAGAAGGAAATCAGAACTGCCCACCTTCGACCACATACCCAACACAAGATACTCCATCTTCCATTGCGTAGACAACCACCTGCGCGTACTTCTATCCTCTGCGCCGGAGTCTCTGGCGTCTAAGTCAAAATACGCTTTGAGGGGGTCCTCGCTATCTTCTGGCCCGCGCCGGAGTCTCCGGTCGTCGGCGGATGCGCGAGGCGCCGCCGTTAAGGGGATACATACTTGCTGCCGCCGAGGCAAGAGACCGGAGGGGCGAGGGCCCCGCTCGAAGAGCGAGCGAGCGCGGCGGCTCCTCGGAGACGCCGCTGCTGAATTTGGGCGCCTCATATGTTCGACGCGGCGGCCGGCTCCGCCTTAGGCGCGGAGGACCCATGCGTTCTGGGGCCTTTGCGCTGGCAAAAATGGCGTCGTTGTCTGGCGTTTGGATCGGCGAAGGGGAGGTGCGAGAAGAGATCCACGGCGCACTGTTCAGTCGGCCGCGTGGGATGATGTGGTCGGAGCTCCTCCCATTAGCGCATTCCGGTAAAGTTTATCTCCCCACTTGTTCATGATGCTCGCATTGGATTAGAATCTAGGTGCTGCATCTTCAACTTGCTATAAGAACGTATTAGGTGAATCTAGGTTAACTGGGAGACTTGCCTGAATGCTGTTTTTTCTGTAGTGTTCAAAGTTAGAAATTGAAATGTATAGTAAGAAGCTAACGTACGCTACTTTGCCTAATTTTTTTTATCGATAAGTCTTTGAAATTGAAAGAAAATACTACTCCCGTATGATATGAGTTTCTTATGATCTGGAAAAATATTCATCAGTTTGTATTAATTTAGTATCCAAAGTCAAAAATCAAACTGAACAGATTTTTGATTAGCTTGCTTATGCGTATTGATTGGAAGTTTCTCTGAATTAGGAAAAAAGGCAACATAGGTTTGTTTATAGAGCTTTCACCAGTTCATAGGTTTATCCATTTACTGTTTAAAGTATAACTCTTAATTACCTTATCGTCCCACATGCGAA